GCATCAATACTCAAGTCTTCAGTGTCACATGATCTTTCAGAAATCATTCTAATATGCTGATTTATTATCAGTGCTGGAAACTGTTGCTGCTTCATATTTTTAATTTTTTTGGAACCTGTGATACTTTTTTTCAGGATTCTTTAATGAATAAAAAGTTAAAAAGAACAGCATTTGCTTAAAATAGAAATCCTTTCTAACAATATACACTACCGTTCAAAAGTTTGGGGTCAGTAAATTAATTTTTTTCTTTCTTTTTTGAAAGAAATTAATGCTTTTATTCAGCAAGGATGTGTTAAATTGATAAAAAGGGATGATAAAGACTTTTATTGTTAGAAAAGATTTCTATTTTAAATAAACTGTTCTTTTTAACTTTTTATTCATCAAATAATCCTGAAAAAAGTATCACAGCTTCCAAAAAAATATTGTGCAGCACAACTGTTTTCAACATAATAATAATCAGAAATGTTTCTTGAGCAGCAAATCAGCATATTATACTGATTTCTGAAGATCATGTGACACTGAAGACTGGAGTAATGATGCTGAAAATACAGCTGCGCATCACAGAAATACATTACAGTTTAACAGAGATTCACATAGAAAACAGTTATTTTAAATGGTAATAATATTTCACAATATTACTGTATTTCTGATCAAATAAATGCAGCCTTGATGAGCAGAAGAAACTTCTTTAAAACACATTACAAGTCTCACTGATCCCAGCTCATTGCTGATCTCGACTGCATCAGATTAGTTCATCCTAATCAGCAGCAGGCCTTATATTAAGAATTGATGCTCCACGTGGATTCTGGTCTTTCTCTTAATGAGCAGGATGCAGCGTGATGCATAATTTAGATCTCAGCGGATGCTGGTGATTGTTGACCCTGCATCTCAATGACACGCTGTCTTCCAGATCATCTACAAGACACGCTGAGTTTGTGTGTCACGCTTCTGTCAAAGCCATGCTTTTCTGACACCAGAAACATGCTCTCATAGTCACCTTTAGTGCTTTATACAGTACAGATCGCATCAAAGCAGATTTACAGTAATAAACAGGACAATAACAGAATCAATGATGGAAACTCAACCCTACAGAAGACAGTCATCATCCAGCTTCATTCAGATCAAGTTTTGTTCTGTCAGTCAGTGCAGTCATATTGATAAATTACTGAAAGTTAAGATCCTATTTCAAATCACATTTCATTTGGACTGTACTTGTGTTCAGCGATCAAATGCCTTGTTGACTTGCATCCATACATGTTTACACTTTGAATGTAGAGCAAGTAGTGTTGCTTTGGATTCTGTATTTGCCACTGTAAATGTTATAAATCGTTCATACAGCAGATGTCACAGGAGATCCTGTTATACAGTAAATGCAGAAACATCCTTCTGTTTAATAATGACTCTGTTGTCTTCTGTAGAGCGAATTTGAATCTTCAAAGCAGAATTTGCAACATTAATAACATTGTTATTTTCATGTTTATCACTCTGAGCAATCTGTGTTGTATAAAGCGCTAGAGAAATAAAGGTGACTGGACTGGAAAACCACGGAGATTTCAGTCCTAATCTAATCTAGACTGCTGTGAACATCTCAGATCCTAATGTAAAACTGAAGGTAGGCTGTTTCTGTAATACAGCTTGTAGTTTTCATGACATTTGGTGTGATTTGAAAAGGAGCCTGTGGATGAGAAGGGGTTTTTTAGTCAATCAGAAGAGCTCCGTGTGCTGCAGTGTTTGCTGTTTTAGTTGCACAGGTATATTTGACAGCACACATGTGAGACTTTGCTGCGTTCAGTTCAGGAGTGATGCAGACTCTCAGTGCTGTTGTTCAGTGTTTCTCTCTGTTTGTTTTCTCAGACTTCAGCAACACACACACACAGACACACAGAGTAATGAGGCGTGACGGCTTTATATGCGTGCTGGAGAGGCCCGTAAGTCCCGCCTCCTCCTGGGCAGGAGACCAATAGGCTTCCGCCTGCAGGGGCAGTCTGCTGATGTCACGGCTCTTGTGTGCAGTGGACCAATGGGCTCGCGGCTCCCGCTGACATCAGCCAGCACTCGGTTCCTCCAGCACACAGCTTCGTTTTCTGCTCAGCTTTTGTGTTTAAATGGAGGCTGCTCTGGCGCTGTAGGAGCTTCTGTGTTTTAGCTGCGGCGCGCACTGACATGCAGCTCGTCTGAGGCATGATGGTCGTAGACGCTCCTAATCCCAACGAGCCTGTGGCTCTAATGCACTTCAGAGGTGAGTGATCCGGACCCGTGTCTCACGTTTGATGGGCTGTGAGGGTCGCTCGGCTCGTGTCCACGGCTCATTCTGTGTCATTGAGGCGCTGCTTGAGACGGAGAGCTTTAGTTAGCGTCTCCTGCCCATCCCCCCCACTCCAGCAGTGATGTCACAGGAAGTGAGGTCACGGCTGAAGGAAGGGTGTTGTGTGTGTGTGTGTGTGTGTGTGTGTGTGTTGCTAGGGTGTTTTGTGTGGTCACTAGGGTGTTGCTAGGGTGTTTTATGTGGTTGCTAGAGTGTTGCTAGGGTGTTTTGTGTGGTTGCTTGGGTGTTCTTTGTGGTTGTTAGAGTGTTGCTAGGGTGTTTTGTGTGGTCACTAGGGTGTTCTGTGTGGCTAGAGTGTTGCTTTGGTGTTCTTTGTGGTTGTTCTAGTGCTGCTAGGGTGTTTTATGTGGTTGCTAGGGTGTTCTGTGTGGTTGCTAGAGTGTTGCTAGGGTGTTGTGTGTGTGTGTGTGGTCAATAGAGTGTTGCTAGGGTGTTTTGTGTGGTCACTAGGGTGTTGCTAGGGTGTTTTATGTGGTTGCTAGAGTGTTGCTAGGGTGTTTTGTGTGGTTGCTAGAGGAGTGAGTGTGAGAGGAGTGTGTGTGTGAGAGAGAGGAGTGTGTGAGTGTGAGAGGGGTGTGTGTGTGTGTGGAGTGTGTGTGTGTGTGTGTGTGAGAGGTGTCTGTGTGTGTGAGAGGTGTGTGTGAGTGAGTGATTGAGTGTGAGGAGTGTGTGTGTGTGTGAGAGAGAGGAGTGTGTGTGAGTGATTGAGTGAGTGTGAGAGGAGTGTGTGTGTGATTGAGTGAGTGTGAGAGGAGTGTGTGTGTGATTGAGTGAGTGTGAGGTGTGTGTGTGTGTGTGATTGAGTGTGTGTGTGTGAGAGGAGTGTGTGTATGTGTGTGTGTGTAATAATATTAATAATAATAGTAATATTAATAATAGCTTTTACATTTAGTCATTTAGCAGACGCTTTTATCCAAAGCAAATTACAAATGAGGACAATAGAAGCAATCAAAGGGTTTATTGTTAGGTTAGAGTTAGGGAAGGGTTGGTTATGGTTAGGTTAATGTTAGTGATAGTTAAGGTAAACTTTAAATGTCAAACCGTACAAACACACTAATGTGAGTCCAGAAGCTTGATTAGTTTGATTTAATTAAACGAGAGTGAAGGACGAAACACACGGATGTTGAAGTGCTAGCTCATCACGGAGGTTTGTGCTCAATGTCAGGATTCGTTTTGGTTATTTAATGACTGAAACTGACCATTGTGTATAGGGATGCGCTGATACGATAACAGATATTTCTTTATATTTGAAAACCGATAACCGATATGTTGGCCGATATATCGGAATCCAAATGTTTATTTCATTTTAAGCACCTGATCACAAAAAAGTCTCACCGTTAAAAGTCATGTCTGAAATACTACAACATAAATCAAACATATACAGTACAGCAGCCTAGTTTGAACCAGTGCAAGTTTTAAAATTTATTTTACACTCCTATTACCAGCTTTTTAAAAAAGTAATTGCCTTACAAATAGATAAAAATATGCTTAATGCAAACAACATTACTTACGTGTAAAGAATCAAAATGCATGTGTGCCATGGATAAATACAACCGAACGGCCTCCGCACAAACAATAATGCAATTATTTCAATTAAACCATATTGTTGGTGAAAATAATAAGATAAAAATAAAAGTGGCATAATGCATCAGCTATTTTGAAAAAGAAACATCTTAAATTAACTCCACTGTTTCAAATAGCAGCACTGCTGAATGAACACCGCTAAACTGAAGCGCTGTGTTAGCAGCTTAATTAGGCCATATGAGAATCAGATATTTATACATCATAAACATAATATTACAACTCATACGCACATGCACAACATGCCTGCATGAAAGACTTGCCCTGCACATGTTGCACTTAACTGTATTTTCCTTTTCAAAGTGATTCCTATAATATTTCAAGTAATTAAAAACCATCATGGCGAACAGTGTGCATCTGAAGAGTCTCTGAAGGAAATATTATTTATTATTATTAATCAGCTTTCATATACCAGCCAGATTATCTTATCGGGCCGATAACGATAACAGTAAAAATGAACATTCATCGGCTGATACCGATAACTCAGTGATGCTGCTAATTTTTTCTCATTTTTTTCTCAAGTGTTTCAAGCTCTTTTCATCTTATAATCTCTGTCATCCACACAAATATGACTTGGCTGTGTTTCTTGATCCAGGTTGTGAAGAGAAGTGAGCCTCAGTGACATCAATAAAACCGAATGTGTGTTTGTTTCTAACAGAAAGTCCTTTTTCACTTTACTCTGTGTAGTTAGTAAAGCTGATGTGCTGCGATTAGTCTGATTAGTGCTCAGTTATACATGTAGCTGTTTCATATCTAGTTATATGAAAATGTTTGCATGTTGCTGACTGGAAGTTAAAAGAGTGAAAATCCTCTGTGTTCTGTATATTAGACAGATCCATATTATCATAATCATAACAGACAGGAACCACTCTGGAAGATTTGTTTTTAATGAAAGGTGAGATGAATAATAAAAGAGATCATAAGAGAGTTACTATCTGTGTTTAAACGTGTGACGTGATTAGTCCCGTCTTATAACATCAGTCCAGCTCAGATCAGCAGGGCTTAAGAAGGTTAGTCTAGGTTTTGATCTCAAACCATGTTGAGAAAGGGACTGGTTAACCTCTCTCTGTCTAAACAGCCGTTCAAACGAACCAAGACGCGGAACGCAAATACACAAGAAACCTTTATCACGATTTAAGTGAATGCATTTGCAGCAGGTCAGTCAAGTCACATTTACTTCCATAGTGCTTTATACAGCGCTGTGTCAAAGCAGCTTCACAGAAATAAACAGAATCAATTATGAACTCAATTATGGAGACAAATTCAGATTCTGCTGTAAAGCGTTTTTATTCAAATCAGTCCAGTTCAGTAACAGTTCATCTTCCGCTATTTAAAGCAGCTCTGCAGAAGACAATAGTGTCATTATTCAGTTCAGTCCAATAACGGTGTCAGATGTGATTCAGCTGATCTCTGAAAAGAGATATTTTTTATGCATGTATTTCCCTCCTGTAGCAGCGAAAGGGAAACGATTGAGATGTATGTTGTGATTGTTGTGCAGTATAATCAGCTGTGGAGTTCTGCTGATCACATGCACTGACAGCAGTGCTGGGGAAGTTACTTTTAAAAGTAATGCATTACAATATTGCGTTACTCCATAAAAAAGTAACTAGTTACGTTACTTAGTTACTTTTTATGGAAAGTAATGTGTTACGTTACTTTTTAAATCTGGACAGGGCTTGCTTGTTTGTTTTTAAAATAAAAAAGTTCTATTTTTGGCAAATACTGTATAAAAGCCTTTTCACACCAAAAGTGAAAAGAATAAGCCTCAGGCTGAAGGGAAAGTAAATGTACGTCCGTACAGTAGAATGCAGAAGAAGAAATTTCAACACACTTCAGCAATAAAAAAAAAA